GAGAAGAACTACTTGTTAGTCTTAATTTCTGGTAATGGACTTTATCCCCCCCACAAAACCAGCCGCAGAATTTGAACAACTGGGCGCCATGTTTCGTAAAGTTGGGAGGTCGTTCTTGAGATAATTTCGGTCAAGTAGAGCCTAAGGACGTAAAAATTGAGCAGGAACTTACATGTCAACCCTAATATCTGGTAATGGACCTTATTCCCTCACAAAACCGAACGCCGAATTTGAGCGGTTGCGCGCCAAGTTTCGTGAACTCGGGTGGCAGTTCCTGAAGTGATTCTCGTCAAATAGAGCCTAAGAACGTAAAAAACGAGCAGGAACTTACATGTCAACCTTAATATCTGTTTTTGGGTCTTATTGCCCCCACAAAACCGAACGCCGAATTTGAGCGGTTGCGCGCCATGTTTCATAAACTCGGGTGGTCGTTCCTGGAGTAATTCTCGTCAGATAGAGCCTAAGAACGTAAAATACGAGTGGAAACTTACATGTCAACCTTGATTTCTGTTTATGGGCCTTATTCCCCCCCCACAAAATCGAGCACTGTATTCGAACGCTTAGGCGTCATGTTTCGTAAGCTCGGGTGGTCGTTCCTGGAGTAATTCTCGTTAGATAGAGCCCAAGAACGTAAAAACCGATCAAGAACTTACCTGTTGGTCTCATTTTCTGGTAAAAGACTTGATTTCTCTGCAAAACCGAACGCCGACTTTGAACGGTTGGGCGCGATGTTTCGCAAACTCGGAAGGTTGTTCCTGAAGTAATTCCCGTTAAATAGAGCCCAAGAACATAAAATACGAGTAAGAACTCACTTGTTGAGCTCAATTTCTGCTCATAGACTCGATTTTCCTGCAGAACTGAAATTTGAACGGATGGGCGGTCCATTTCGTAAACTTGGGAGGCGCTTCCTGTAATAGTCAGCGTCAAATCAAGCCCAAGAACATGAAATTCGAGCCAGAACTTACCGAGTAAATCCATTTTTGGTATGGTCTTCTGGAGGGAGGACTTGCCAAACCTTGTTGATGCCGGAGATAGTTGGTGGACGTGGAGATAAGATGACGGGGCACGTTCTGCCTCCTTAGATACCACAGCCTAAGATGAGAAGAGGGATGGGGTCATCAGTCAAGGGATCGGGGCAAGTGGCCGAGGCAAGAACTTGTTTGGAACTTGTAAGCTGAGCCTCACCCTTTCTTGGCGGGATCTGGTCACAGATCGGTCACACTGATGGGACTGTCTTTTTCGTCGGTCGCAGCTCTACTTCGTGCCTTCAATGACGCACATTCGTTTCCCGATCGCATTGATGGGAAACGAATGTGCGTCATTCCAAGGCACGAGAATATATCAACGTGGTCGAGGCCCTGAAGTCAACAACGTCGTCAACGCCATCAAGTCAACGGCGTCAACGTCCTCACTCAACGGCGTCAACGTCCTCAGTCAACAGCGTCAACGTCCTCACTCAACGGCGTCAATTGTCCTCAACGCTTTCAAGTCAATGCGTCGTCAACGTCCTCAACGCAGTCGACGTCGTCAATGCAACGTCATCAACACCATCAATGCAACGTCGTCAACGCCGTCAATGCAACATCGTCGACGTCGTCAATGCAACGTTGTCAACCAACAGTCAACGTCGTCGATGTCACCATCTACCTCGTCTCTCACCACGGGCTTGGCAAGCCTTACCCCTGGGAGGTCTAATGCGATGCACACACAAACGCGCCCAGCAGCGAGCAGTTTCTGCCACGTAAGTAGCACGATATCTTTTACCCAAGTCTTCGGCTAACAAAATGTCATAGATTTTGTCCAACTACTCAATGACGAACAAGGCAAAAGTAACGCGTACAAAGGTTGAGTGTCAGATTGGCACTTTCATGCAGGAGTAAGTATCATATTCTCTTTTTGCACAACTTCTCAGGTAAAACTAACCCTTTCAAAGTACTCAGCACGCAAAGTGGAACGCATACGCTGGTTCTGCGGATGAAAATACGTCGTCTCAACGCTGGAAATGAGTAACGGCGACGTTTCGAAGTTTACGAGTCCTCTGAGTTTACGAAGAGACTCGTTTATTACCTGGGATCTCGAGACTTTTTTCAGCGCAGTAACGCTGAAATTTGACTTTCTCCCACGAAAATGATTTCTTCCCACAGTTGAACGCCTCATCCTCCTCATTGTATTTTCTAGTCAAATCTACCAAATCATTGCTTAACACTTGCTTTTAGCACCCTAAGCATATGAATAGTGATGCCTCTGCTCTCTCTTTACTCAAATTATTTGCTAGCCCTGTTCTTGCAAGCTTCCTCAACATTTCCACAGTATTATCAACCCCATTCAATTATATTTCTTTGTATTCAATGTATAACAATCAACCA